TCTTCATATGAAAATGTGAGTGATTGTAAATTGGTTTCATAATGGTACTGAATACATGGGATATTTTTTCTTCCATTCTTGAGATACTTTACTGAGAAAGATATGTTCCAGCTCCATCCATGTAAACATAAAAGAATCAAGTCTCCATCTTTTTTAAGGCTGCATCATATTCCATGGCGTACATATACCACAATTTATTAATCCATTCATGGGTCGATGGGCCCTTGGGCTTCTTCCATGACTTGGCTATTATGAGTTGAGTTGCAATGAACAATCTGGTGCAAATATCTTTGTTATAAAGTGATTTTGTCAGATATGGGATTTTTATTATTAACAAGACTATGAAAAGAAATCAGTGCAAAATGAGTTACTGTAAGAAACAGAAAACTAACTTTAACTAAGTCAATGTGTGTGTAGAAACAAGACGTCCTACCCGGATGTCCAGTAGGGATCCTGTGTGCCCCCTTGTGTGTCTGGTTTAGGAATCCCCACGCTACCACCTGCTGATATTTAAAAGGCGTTTACTGGGACCGGCACTCTGCAGGGATTATCTGATGTAATCACAGTTCTGTATTACACATGAGGAGGCTGGGACTGGGGGTTTAAATAATTTATTCAAGCCTACAGTGTTAGCAAGTGATAAGGTGGGAACTTGAATGCCGCATCTGCCTGACTGAGCCCAGACTATCTGTCGTCTCATGCTTCTCACTATGGCATGTCGCCCCCCACTGGTGACCTAGTCAGCAGGCGTTGAACAGAGAAAAAGGGAATTTTAGAGCTCATGAATATAATGATGTTAAGAATTTTAAGATTTGAGGATTTTACAAAGGAACAAGTGGATCCTTGAGTTTCCTTCCAGCTTTCTAATTTGCTTTAACTGGTAGACAGGCAGAGGAAATTGAGCAAACTATAAAATGGAAACTGCATGAAATAACGGACTTCACCTAATTTCAAATGTAATATCATATATGCCATTCACTTTATTTTTTTTTCTCAGTTTAAATTGATGAACTCACTTGAAAACATGGTTTTAGTATGAGTTTTTGGGACATCTAATCAGGACACAATAATCGTGGTGTTGGCCTGGGAGAAGCAGACGCTCTGATCTTGAAGAATTAGGACTTTTTCTTAATGTTGGCAGATTGGCCTTTCATCCTGGTGGATCATTAGCAGGACAGCTTTGTGCTTGTGACTGGAGAAGCTGCTTGTATTACCACCTCGGCATTTTGCCAGGGTCCAGCAGCCCACTCGTTTGACTTCCCAGACTGGCTGGAGTGCAGCACTCAAATAAGATTTACAGAAAGAAGAACAGCTGTGTAGAATATGGCCTTTGGAAGGGGAAATTTACTGAGATAGTGATTATAGCACATGCAGCTCAAGGCATAACCATAATGCTCGGAGGACCATTTCTCTCCCTCGCGTGGTATTTTATATCTATTGCCCTCAGAACAGGAAGGCAATGTGTATTCATGGTAGCAAATGCTATTTCCCATCTTGTAAAACTGATTTTATTGCAACCTTCTGCTTTTAGTTACTGAAAACTTGCTAAAAATCCTTGTTAGAAGGTAAAACTTTTACTGTTTGGCCTCTTCCAAAAAAATATGGCTTGAGCGAAAAGAGAGTGGTATTTAAATTCTAAAAAGATGGCGATGCTTAATTTGGCGTTTAAAAATTACTTCTACTTTATCAATGTTAGCTCCTTTAAGTATTGCTTAAACAATTCTTGCATATCAGACTATTCCTGTCGATACATCTATCAAGGATAAAACAGCGTTTAATTTGTTTTCCCCCAACTAGCATGCAGGAATTTAAACTTGGGTTGCTCAGACTTATGTAATGAGTATGTAAATTATTAAAAGGCCTTTCTTTTTTTTTTTGGTTTAAGTTTTAATGTTGTTTTAAAATGCTTCAAGGATTTTGCATATTAGGCTATCTCTATTGGTGATAATGTACCTCTATTCAGAATCACTTTTGTTTTTCTTTTTCGTTTGGTATAAATCTGGAGGTTGTGGGGAGGATGCTGATACCGGTTCGTACCTCATCTTTATATTACGTGGAGAGGCAAGCCATTAGTCAGCTCGGCTTGAACTCCTTCAGTTTGGGTCTCCAACTTTTGACTAAGTATTCGTGTGATCCTTTCCTTGTATTTTTAGTGGCTCTCTTCTTAATGCTTTGTGCATTAAAAAAACCCACCTCAAATCCAAAACTTTTATTTTCATAGTCCTTCAGTGTTGCCAAACCAGGAGTTTTATAAACATCATGACACGTGATTCTCACGGCCACACTGCCACTCAGGCCTAAGCACACAAGCTCTGCAAGCTCAACCATAGTCTGGCCTCCAGTCAAAATGAAATAATGACAAAAAGTCAAATCTAAAACAGATTGTCCACTTTTCACCTGATATTAGAAGTAATTTATGCCCTACTCTTTCTCTCATAAAATGGGCAAGGGTATTTTTAAGATAAATAATCGAGGACTATCGTGTAAAACTTAAATGTAAGAAAAAGTCCCTTTACTTACATTGTAATCTATGCTTATTTTGACAATTACTTCTTTTAATCCTGTTTAAATTTTATTGTCTGGCCATTATTTTAGCTGATGGAAACATAGTATCATAAAAATGTGTATTTATGATATCCTCAAGGATATGATAGTAGACTTACATTGATACATATTTATGGGTTTCTGTGTGTGTGTGTGTGTATGTATTTGTAGGCATGGAAGAATGATTCGTTTTAGCTACATGTGCCTTTAATAGTTTACTGTAGATTTGGGTGTCTGTTTATAAAATTATGTTAAAAGAAAGCTTTAACATATAGATAGTTGAGGGAATCATTCTTCAGCTTTATTTAAAAAGTAGAGTAAGATATTTATTTGGGAAAGAGAAGCAGGAAGGCACCTACTGTGCTCACAGGTAGATGACGTCGAATGCAGCCTGAAGGGGCTCCGGGGAAGGATTTTCCACCTGCTTCTGTGGAGCCACAGCAGCGTGCTCCTCCCGGCCCCTTCTGCTGTGTTTCTCCAGGTGCCCAGACTGAGTCGCTGCTGAGGCTGGTCTCCATCTCTGTCCCTGGGTCTCTCTTTTACACACACACACACATACACACACACGTGTGCACGCACACTATCTCCGTCCTTGAGTCTCTCTCTTACACGCGCGCGCACACTATCTCTATCCCTGGGTCTCTCTTTTACACACGTCCACACGCACACACACACTCTTCTACATACACACACTCTTTCTCTCCCCCCTACCTGTCCAGCCTCTTTTCCTGTCTTTTCAGCACTAGTTTTGGAAATATGGTCCACATGCTATGTCTCATAATTTTTCCTAGGGAAAACCTAGAGAAGAGGATTTTTAGAAAAGGCCAGGCAATCTTTCTCAGCCAACAGAAGCAATGATTGTGCTAAATCAGTGTTCATGGAGGAAGTTGGTCATCGCAAGAACGCCTGTGTTTCTCACGGTGATCGGTTAGCTCCACTAGCAGCCCGGACAGAATGTCCTTAGAGGAGGCACATCTCCTTCCTGCCTTCTTATACCAACTCTCTGTCCGAGATCCCATCGCAGAACTTGTACACACTGACCACTGAACGCAGGCAAATCGATAATGACTTTGTTGCCCTGACAGACAGTGATAGTTGATCTGCCTCTAGATCTCCAAAGTTATTGAGCTGTTTGTGTGACCCTCCATCTTCTGGGGGTGTGTGCAGGCCTCTCCTTCCTCAGGAGTGCCAGCTGACCACAGAGGTGGCAAGGAGACCACTTCCATGTAACCACAGAGGTGGCAACGAGACCCCTCCATGCAACCACAGAGGTGGCAACGAGACCGCCTCCACGCAGGAAACGCATGTGTGACTTTGACATCTCCCTTTTGTGGTCTGATTTCAGATTAGCTAGGGCACAGACAGTGTGGAGCTGGCTTATTTTGTTTAATATATTCCTTTTTCACAGTGGATCAGAAAACAATAGAACAAAACAAACAAAAAACAGCCTTTTGTAAATGTTTTATGAAAGGACACATAAATGTGTTGCTTAATGGAATAAAATCAAAGTAGCCACAATAATTTAAAAAATCACTTTTTGTTATAGCCATTGCTATTAAAGAATGGCTAGGTAATTCTCTCTAAATACTTTCTTTGATTTAGAGTAGAATTATAAATTCAGTGCCACAGCAGAAATCTCTCCCTCCCCTTTTGTCCCCTCCCAATCGTCCTGTGTATTTATCTGTTTCTCTCTCTATGCATATGTGGATAGATATATATGTATCAAGTATTCCATCCATCATTGTTTTTTTCCTGCACACAAATGTTCTTTGGACTTCAGTAGTTGTGAAAAGTCAGTATGAATCATCCCCCGTAATATTTGAAATAGCATTAATAATATTCTCTAATCAGTTTTATGAGAATTTTTAGGTACCTTTGAAATCTGATAAAACATCTTCCTATTCTTCATAGTTTCTCTCCACAAATATATTTTTGTCCTCATGAATAAATGATTTTTTTGGAATACCATTGAGTCCAACAAGGCCTCAATTTTCAGACTATTTATTTCGTGAATGGATCTCATGCAGCTCAGCCCCCAGGGCTGACTGGAGAGTGTGGTCTGATCCTGTTGCTGTGAGTGGAACGTCTTTCTTCACTGAGGCCCAGTATGACGTGCTGTGATCTTCAGGCCTGCCCATCCCGTCTCTATGACAACAGGGATCCCAGAATCATTTTGGATCAGAGAGAGGTATCATTGCTGCCAGTTGAGATTATCCTGTCATGGCAATAGCCATTTGGATAATGTGAAAGTTGCTCCAAAAACATTGTGAAATGATAATGATAAAATATTGGTATATTTTTCTAAGTTGGAGACACCTGACTATGGGTAATCCTTTAAAATTAAGCAATGTATTTGATATAGCAGATAGCAGAGATTTGAGTTACCTGTTACTTTCCCGTGTTTTGTTTTAAGTCTGTGTTATGAAATGCTAATTATATTTCCTTCTCATTTATAGGTAACCCATTAACTAAGGCTAAGTCAGGTGACCCTCAAGGCTGATTACATGGAATGTATGCACAGAAACTTAACTCCTGAGGTGACCTGCAGGAAGATTTTTATACTGCACGGAAGAGGCACTCCAGAGTCTGTTTCTAAGGGATTTCTCTGGACTCTTTATTGAAATCAAGACTTTAAAATAGATATGAACTTCTATGTCATGAAGATTTCCTATTTGAACTGTATTCAGCTTGTTAAATTGCTAAAAGAATTTGAACTTGGCATCTTCAGAGGTGGTGAAGAGTTGTTTTTTCCAGAGTGAGGTCAGAGACAGTCACCTTTTGGATTATTGGCTCCAGATGTGACAACTGTTCTTGTTTCTGAAAGCTGTCTCCGAGTGCGCTGTTCTCCCATCATGGATGTGTTCCTGGGCCCCGTGCTCCTTGGCTAGTGCAACTACATACAACTTCAATGACAATTTTTTTTTTTCTGAGAACTTCTTTGGCATGTAGACTGAGACAGTTTTATTTATATTCTAATACTGGAGCTCGGAAGGCCTACATGTTTTAACATCTTAAATTTGCTTTTGTTAAAGGAATGGAAATATATATCCATGTATAATAACTATTGTTGGCAAGTAATAGCTATCTGAGTACATCAGTCATATAAGAATGTATAGACAAGCTGACGTATCTTCCCAGGCTGACAACACCCTCCCGCCGCTCTTTGTCAGTTAAATAGGTAGTAGTTAGACCTGGATTGCCATTTCATGATATAATATCTCTCCAGAACTCTCCCTTTCAGTTTTTTTTTAAGTGGGTTTTTTCTTTAATTTTTTTATGTTTACTTTTTCCTTTCACAGAAATCAGCAGTGAGCAGTCATATTATTGGGTAGCCTTCAGTTTCAAAAACTTGCCAGGGTTGCATGTCAGTTTCTGATTTCTTAGCTTGAATGTTACTTAGATTTCTTCTAGTGTTTCTGTTTTTAAACGGTCCTTTCTATCTCATTTTAAAAGACTGTCTCTCCCTCAGTCTCAGTGACTGTTTGAATGCTTACATATTTGTTCAGCCTGTTGGTAGGAAAAAAATTTTTTTTTTGGCCTCAAATTTATAAATATTTGCTTATAGATGTCTCATTCAAATAATTTCCTAGGCCAGTATTTTGTCCACAATTTTGTAGCCATTTTAACATTTGTGGTTTTCAGTGCTACAGCAAAGTCATAAATATTTAAAGGCCTTAAACATGTATGTACTTTTCCCCCTAAGTTATTACAGAATGTATAATTTTATACTACATTTATTTTGTTTGATCTGTGCTGTGAAGGGAGAGAAGAATAGAAATTTCACAGCCATCCGTAATAATATTGTGTAAACCTATAATTTGAAGGAATGTAAAGGGGTAGACACCTGTGTTTTACTCATTTTAGACTGTCCAGAAGATGCTTCAAAAATTGTCCTATTAGAAGTTCTGTCATGTAGAGAAGATGTGGAAACATTTTGTTATTTTTAAAACTCACTGACATGGCCAGTTAGGCACTGGTCGTTTCCATGGCTGAGGCTCACAGATCCTGAAGAGCTCTAGTTCTTAGTTTATAACAATATTCAAAACCCAGTATGTTACTCAGACTCTTTTTCTTGGGAAGAATAATTAAAAGTGTAAACTTCGTTAAAAATTAAACTCGAAAAGCGTACTTCTGACATTGAACTGCAAGTCTGCTGCCTTGTAAGTCCATGGAATGAAATGCTTTCCTTCTCCATTTTAATTATGCTCAAGCTAATTAGATGGCTCAGAGCGGATTTTCACGATGCTTCAAGACTACGTGAAATCATAAAGAAAAGACTAACAATTGTGCTGGAGTTTTTGCATCAATTAGAATAGCATTAGTTTTTCTTTACAACAAAGATGAAAACTGCTTTATTTTAGAAATTATGAATTTGTCCTAGGTTGGTTTGAAATTATAGATAATGCTTCTCATTTTATAAACTATGTCCTCTAAAAACCACTGGAAATTCTGTATAATATACAAGTGTAATACATGCATATTAATAGAGAAAAAGACATGGAATTTCAAATATACTAACTAGATTATCCCCCATAAATTAATGTTGTGACTATTCAGAAAAGGTGAATAAAATTGGAATATAAAATGAACTCTCCTTCATAAGTTATATTTGGAGATCTGTTTTCTTGCATTTTATTTTAAAACCACTTCAGTTATTATCTAGGAAACCTTTCAGCTCATGAAGAGGCTGACATAAATTCTTCAATTTTTTTAAATAAAGATCCATGGCAAATCTTGCCATGTGCACAGAGTTCTGACACTTGACTTGCGTCTTTGCTAGGAGACAGTTGAAATAGATATATGTTTATACTGGTGCTGTTGCTAACATCTTGACTATGAACTTAATTGGCATAATTTTTAGCAATATGGAAAATTCATTTTATTTTGAAGACTGTTAGACATAACGCACTGTTTTTCTTTATATTACATGTGGAGATTATTCATCTATTTCACAAATATGACTGATTTAGACTTTAATTTTTTAAAAAGACTTTTTATTTTAAAATAACTTGAGAGTCACAAGAAGCTATAAAAGCTAGCACAGAGGGTTTCCATGAGACCTTTCCCCACTTTACCCAGTAATAACATTTTGCAAAACCATGGAACCTTGTCAGAAGCAGGAAAGTGATGTTGACATAATATTATTAAACCCAATACAGGCTTTACTTGGATCTTACCAGTCTTCAAATGAATTCTGTGTGTTTGTGTGAACATGGGTTAGATAATAGTATGAGATGTGGGCCAATGACAGACCAATCTCTCCTCTATTTTTGGAACAGCATCCTATAGTTTTATTTCACTTTATTTTCAAACACTCTTAACACAATAGAAACTTCCAGTTTTAATATCAAACAGTACCATATATCAAATTTGGTAATGGTTTTCAAATATGGCATTGGTTTTCATGGGAGGAAAGAGATCTGAGACTCTGCATCTATGGTTAAAATTGAAAGAGTAAAAAGACTTTGATGTTGTTCCTTTGTTTTCCCCTCAGTAAACCTTGCACTGCTATGCAGTGCTATACAATCGGGTTTGACTGTTGATGATACACAACAGCTGACAGCATGGCAATTAATCGTATGAGTACACGGAATTGATCTTTTTAAAGTTTAGATAATTTTCTCAATTCTTAGATGATGCATCCATCTGAAAGAGCAACATATGCAAAGACAAGCCCTTTGTCATTTTGAGTCACTAACTTAAATGGAGAGAATTAAAATGACATCGGACAATCTGCTTAGGGAAATGGATGAGTTGGGGAGATGTGCACTGGCCTTCTGTTCCCTCCCCCACGTAGAGAACTCACACTAGAACATCTCTGATTCAGACTAGGCTCTTCCTTCTTCCTTCTTCCTCCCTCCCTCCTTCCTCTCTCCTCTTGTTTTACACATATAATGTTTAGGGAAAGAGCATTAGAATAGCTGTACTTACAGATTGCTTATGGCTTTCTTCCTTATTGCTTTACCTTCCTGTGTGAGACTATGAGTGGTGGAGTATAGACATTACAATTATCTGGCACTTAACTGACAGTTATTGAATTCTTACTAGGCACAGGCACATGAGGCTAGATTCAGTTTGGGGGTTAGCTGGTTTAGCCTTAAAAATGGCCTTTCAAATTACTTCAACAGGTAATTTCTTGATGCCCTACATGTGCATAACACTGTGTTAACCAGTGAGAAAGTAAGTACCTAAAAGATTTTGTTTTGATTTACTCATATCTGTCTACTTTAAAATATTTAGAAGTATTTTGTTTTGATTTACTCATATCTGTCTATTTTTAATATACTAAAAGTTACCAAATGGTATGTTCTATGCCTTGAACATTTTTCTGGAATATGCAATCTGTTACACATAGCAATTGAACTTCATTCTAGAAGTTATGTGATTAAGGTAATGCATGTCCAAACCTTTTTTTTTTTTTTAACCGGCTTTTTTTTTACATTTTTTAAAGCAAATATGAGTTTGAAAGTCTTAATAAAGATATATTGAGGGTATGAAGAGACATTAGAGAGGATTGAATAATCTAACAGAGAGTGATTGAGATCCTGAGCTTAAACTATAACAGGCAAAACAATGGATCTCAATTCTTGTTGACATTTAAATTATTTGAGGAGTAGGACATTTGGGAGAGAGCAAAATGTGAGAAATTGCTGTGGGCAGTGGCGCTGACCCCTGTTCAGTCTTTCAAGGGTGGAACCACTGATGTTGGGTTAGGACTATCTCTGGCAGGGGCGCTGACCCCCATTACCACTTTCAAGGGTGGAGCCATTGATGCCCAGTTTGGTCTTTCATGGGTGGGGCTGCTGATGCCTGGTTTGGACTTGCAAGGACGAGTGAACTGATGCCCACTTCAGACTTACAGAGTGGGGGTGCTGATGCCTTTGCCCTGACTGTGGCTGGTGATCTTTCCTGAATTGATGGTCCACCAGAGGGGCCAGGACCTATCCCCTTGTGTATGCTCTTTGAAACTGTCTGTGGATTTCTACTACTGGGTAATTAGAGACCCTTTGAACTCTCCCTATTGATCAGTGACTGTAGTGTATGGGTCAATCTGTGTAGAGCTCTGGACTGGGCTGTCCATTCAGGGTGCCTTGGAGGTTGAGCAGTGATTGTTTTGAAGTTGGAAAGGATTGAATCTCCTTCAACAGCTGTCACTGGTGGGGGGCAGGACACTGCAGTTGCTTGCATCTCTCCCCAGATGAGATTCCAGCCTAATATCTCAACTCCTTAGGATGGGGTAGAGGTGACTGAATTCAGGATAGAGCCAACCTGTGCTCTCTTACTAAGCATATCTTCAGAGTCTTCTGCTACAGCTCTGAAAGGGACCTTTGTAAGGCTGTAGGGGTAAACCCACAGTCACAAGCCCCAGCTCATTGGGTTAAAGGAAAGTTAAGTCTACTTCCTGGGGACCCCAATCCAATCTTACCCTACCACTTTTAATAGCCAAATTGCAGAAAGTATTCATGTGGTGGAATCAGAGGAAGATCTCTAGCAACATGAATAGTCAGAATAGATCAACTCCCCCAAGGAGTGACAAAGGAGATAAATCAGAACATACCATTCAGGGCAGTGCCTGTGTCTCAAAG